TATTGGACGAACGAAGATCTAGACTTAAAGAAGATATTTTGGAAACTCTTATATGCGTGAAAGATTGGATATTCGCGGATCGAAGGATGCAAGATAAAATTAATGATGATGTTGCTGAAAATTTCAAAAATCTTACGGTTCATGAAGATTGACTGATTGTGATGTACTTAAATTATAAATTATAATAAAAGTAGGTGCTAACCTAGTTGAGATGTACTTTGTTATAAATATATACCTTCACGTAATTAGAAATGCATTTAGTTATTAAATTTAAATTATTAAATTTGAATTCTATGTAAACATTTCTTGATGTAAATATGAATTTATCATTTTGTTCAATTCTTAATTTACATTTAACAAAAAATAAAATAAAATAAAATTGCTATCAATATAAAATTTTTTTGGAACAACCCGCGACCCGTATGGGCTCGACCCGGATGGGTCAGCGGGTGGGCCTGAGTTGTAGTCCAAAATTTGTGGACCGACCCGGAACCCGTCGGGCAGGCTTTTTTTTCACCCAGGTCGTTACCGGGCTCATATGTTGGCGGGCAGACCCGGCCCGGACCACCCGAATTGACACCTCTAAATCCATCTTTTTGTACAATACATGCAAATGCAATCTGTCTTGTCTTTTAGGTATAAAAAAGGTTGAAATCATCCGTGTTACTTTTGAAACTAGCATGTAAAGACCGATTTTGTTTCTTTATTTCCACGCTACAAGATGTTAGATGAATGCTTTTATAAAAAAAACCGCATTTTAACTATAGCTATGACGTGCCACGTGTGGAGGTCCAACATAGAAACACTGAAAGTTGGTGGTCGTGACATCAGGTAGGGACGAGCTGCAACCGTAGAGTAGAACGATCAACCTTACGGGCCAACACACTATGGAATTGCTACACTTTGAAGAAAGATTTGGTTGTGTTTCTAGTTTAGAAAATGACGAGTAAACAATTTATGATAATTGGGATGAAACAGAAAAGACAATGCTGCAAAACTTTTTTATTCAATTGGCATAATCAAGATAAGTTTACTTTCAACGTGTGTATAAAGAACTGAAAATACAATAAAAGAACAAATTTGGTAGTTTCAATAGCAAACTGCAGCTGGTTGGACTCGGTTCTTCAAAATTAGCACGAAAATGATGTTCTATGAAACCCGAAAGTTAGCCACGAGAACTGTCAATTTACATCAAACTAATACACGCAGCACCAATTATTCGGCGCATTTTTAAGGGTAATCAAGATATAATCGAACCAAACCAAATCAAACCGAAGATCAATACATCAATCAATTCATGTAGTACCAATTATACTGCAACATTGTTCAAGGGTAAAGCCACATGGCACCCTGTAATCGTTAGTTTAAAATGCAGTTAACTTTTTTATCCAATCTTCATGTTATGTAATCCCTTGTATACCATTTTTTAGCATAATCCCATGAAGGAATTCGGTGTGGCACCAATTATACTGAGCATTCATCAAGGGCAATCACGATATTATCAAACAAAACAATAGCCAAATCAAAATTCGCTACCAATAGTCTCAAAAGGAAAGATGGTTCAGGATGCAATGATGAATAAAACTCTTGTCCTTGGGACGTCTAAAAGAAACACAACGGAATGCGGGCGATAAACTCATAAAGCTTAATACTACACCGAAAATATAAAACGTAAAAAGATAAAATAGACTGCGCCCAGAGGTAATAAATTCATAAACGTTTAGCCCTTCATTCACTCACAGCCTGTCCTCGAACTCGGAGAGTGGTGTCATCTGCTCCTTCAAGCCCTTCCTCTTTCGGATATCGGTCACGAGCTGGGAAGCCTGGGACCCTGGTTCCAGCGGATCAGATGACATCATGTCCCAATGATCAAACACACACTGGGGAAATGCTTGTCCAGAAGTCGCAGCTCTCAAGGTACTCGAGAAACCAAATGATTCGACAACAGGCAAGTATGCCTTGATATTATACAGTGGAGTACCCGGCCTCTGCAATTCCTCGAATACGTGTCCACGTTTCTGGTTCAGGACACTGTAGATACCGCCAAGAGCTTGCTCTGGTGCTTGAATCTCCACCAAGTACACGGGCTCCAGAAGACGGGGTTTGGCAGTAATATGGGAGGCGTAAATAACCCTCCTAGCAGTTGGAATGACCTGACCGCCTCCTCTGTGAATAGCATCAGTATGGAGAACAACATCACAGACTTCGAAGCAAATACCCCTCATGTTTTCTTCAGCCAATGGGCCTTCTTTTGAAGCCCACTGAAAACCAGCGACAACAGAATCTTTAATTTCATTCAGGTACTGGACTCCCTTACACATATCAACCACCATGTTTGGACCGGTCGTCTCAGGACCGAAGCACCAAATTTTCTTTGCAAGCTCCTTATCCCAACCAAACTCCTCGGCCAAGATCTTAGAACGAATCTTAGGATCATCTCTTGGACCAATACGACCATCATCAATAGCCTCAGCAAGCCCCTCCTCCAAGGGCCTTGCTTCCATGTACAGACGGTTGTGCTTATTAGGTGATTTGCTCATAACAGTGCGACAGGACCTCTCAAGAACAGTCTCACGGAAAGACACAACTGGATCAGATTTAATGATTTCAGCACCACCCATGAAATCATCTTGTAAGTCCTTCAAACATATCTCCAGGTGGAGTTCTCCAGCACCAGCAATGATATGCTCACCAGACTCCTCAATGGTACAGACAACCATAGGGTCTGACTTGGCCAAACGCTTCAAACCTTCAACAAGCTTCGGAAGGTCAGATGCAACCTTGCACTGGACAGCAACACGCACAACAGGTGACACGGAGAACTTCATTGCTCTAATTGGATGAGCATCCACTTCCTTCTCATTGGTCAGGGTTGCATTTTTGGTTATGTATTGATCTAGACCAACCAAAGCCACAGTGTTCCCACACGGTACATCCTCGACAGTTTCCTGCTTCTTACCCATCCAAATAACAGTTCTCTGAACACTCTTGACGTACAAGTCCTTTTTCTCTCCAGGGACATAGTTAGGACCCATGATTCTGACCTTCAAACCGGTTGACACCTTGCCGGCGAATACACGACCAAATGCAAAGAACCTACCCTTGTCAGATGCTGGAATCATCTTCGACACATAAAGCATAAGGGGGCCATCAGGATCACAGTTCCTAATAGCAGTAGCATAAGCATCGTCCATAGGTCCCTCGTACAAGTTCTCCACACGGTACCTTTGTGCTGTAGAAGGTGATGGGAGGTGAAAGATCATCATTTCCAAGAGCGCAGAACTAGCTGGAAGCCAGGTCTGCATCACACGCTTCATTAATGCCTTGCCCATTAAATCCTTCTCATCAGACTTCATAACAACGCCAAGCTTCTGTAACATGGGCCATAGCTTATCTTTCTGATCATTCATGCAAGTGTTGATAATCTGCTTGATGGGTTCGTAACAGAATTGAACAAATCCACGTTTACATGTAGGTGAACCGGTATTCTTGGTGGTCCACTTCTTAGTGGCTGGATCAAAGAAATTCTCTCCCCAGAGCCTTTCCATCATCTTGGACTCATCAACACCAAACTTGGAGGCATACATCTTCGCAAAGTTCGTTAGGGTGAAAGCCCAGCCGTGCAAACCAGCAGAAAATGCAACAGTGCCTTTCTCAGGATAAACCATAACATCGCCCAAGAGAGGGTCTTCATAAGTAGCCATGATGACATTTGCATTTTCAATGACCCTCTGGAATGTTTGGTAAGCCTCCTCTCCATCCACCTGGAGCTCAAGGAAGCACCTGTCCATCTTGTTAACGGTCAAGACAGGTCGAATCCTTTCTCCAAGGGCCTGTCGGAGGACAGTTTCTGTTTGGACGCAGACGCCTTCAACGCAGTCAACCACGACAAGAGCCCCATCAGTGATACGTAGCGCGGCTGTCACTTCAGATGAGAAGTCGACGTGTCCAGGAGAATCAATAAGATTGATGAGGTACTCGTTGCCATTTCGCTCTCCCCTGTAGCTCTTCAAAGACTCATCAGACATCTCGTAATACAGAGAGATACCAGTGGACTTGATGGTGATACCTCGCTCAGCCTCATCAGCACGGGTATCTGTCATTCTAACATCCCCAGCAGCTTCTTGAGCGATAATACCAGCAGCGGCGACAAGAGAATCAGTAAGTGTGGATTTCCCTGTTACAACAAAATGAAGACTTCAATCAGTACGTGCATCAAGGCGGACATGGTGAAAAGACGTGCATTAACCACCCAGCAACACAGTATGTAAATATAACATCGAGGTGAAAATAAATGTAAGAAGTTTCCACACCGTGATCAACGTGGGCAATAACCGACATATTGCGAATGTTGTGCTTGTAGTCCATAATCCTGCGGAGCTCATCAGCTGTGAACTTCACCTGCACACATCAAGGAAAATTTATTCATTAGATTACCTGGTGCAAAGGTGAAGGCTATCTTTAAAAATGAAAATCAACTTTTCATGCTTACCATTTTGACAGGTTTCTAAATTTCACAACCAAAAAAACACCTGCCATCCAGAGAAAAAAAATCAGAATAAGAAAAAGTCAACAAGAAAATCACTGACAAAGGAAAAGCAATTTGCTCTATCACTAACGGGAGTCAAATTAAAATCCACGCTCAAAGACAACAACAAAATTCACTACACTAAATTCATCAACTCCCAGTTTCCACTAAACACTGTATATTTCTCATATTATCCATAGTACCCAAATTAAATGCTAAAGGAACGTGTTAAGAAGTCCATATTTTTTTCAAGCTTTCAAAGACATCAACCTCGACTAGTGAAATAAACTAAAGCAATTTTAGCATAATCAGCATTTCTTTTACTAAAATATTAAGTAAAAATAACAACTCGTGTCAAGTATGAGCAATATAGCCCAATTAAAATTAGATCAGGCGCAAAAATATCGAGTTCTTGTCCGCAATGTTTTTCTATTGAATACAATCATAAGCAAATCTAGTATTTCAAACCTATAAATTATCTGCAACTTAGCAACATAACAGGACATCCAATCTATAAATTAAAAATTTCTCAATATCAAGAGACCAACAATTATTCATATGATCAAATCGATAAAAAAAATTACGTGCAATCATCAGATACTAAAAGATTCATAAAATTAGAGGGACAAACTTACAGATTTAGAGAGAGAGAGAGAGAGGAAGAGAAGGAGGAGGCGGCGGCTCTCAGTGACCTTATGCTATGGAGCACTGAGACGGATATATAGTGTGAGGCGGAAAGCGTCCTCGAAACCCTAATATAAGCGTAGGGTCAGTGTGTCTACGGTTTGTTTTCGTGCAGTTCCCTCGGATATGCAGATATTTTTGTAGCCATAGTCCAGATAAAACTGAATGTCGTCGGGCCCGCTCTTGAAGATATTGCAGTATAAGTTTGGGCTTTACAGAATCATGATAGTTCGGGCTGACAGCCCATAAAAGGGCTAAACCTACGTAATCGGTAATTCCACCTAATGAGGCCCAACCCATCTTTTTAGATGAAATTACAGTTTTTTTTTGGTTAAAGAGATCTTTATTTAATTATATCTCACAAAACCATGTGCTTGTAAAGTGTAACAATATTTATCATTATGATAATTGAATATCGGTAATGTGGTACTCATTATTCCTCGCATCTCTCTCTCTCTCTCTCATAGAAATTAAATTGTTCAATCTCATTATTCCACATATATATTGTTACATCACCAATGTTCTATCGTCATAATGATAAATAACATTATTCGTTTGTAAAACAATCTAAAAGTGGTAATATACATGTAGCACAACCGAATTACACGTATCCCTATTTTTAAAATTTTCATTTCGAAAATCAAATTTTAAATTTATTTTTCAAAACTCGGATATATATATATTACACCCCACTCACCTTATCATCTAATCCCTTTTTTTTCCAATTCCTAGAACTACACTCCACATCTTCACCTTCACTCGACATCGCGATTTGGGTGGTGCCAACGGGGTGTGGTGTGGGTGAAGAATGATTGTGACTAGTTAATTGTGATGTATGATTAATAAATGATGTATGACTTATTAATTGTGTGATTTTTGACTCAAGACAGGATTTTCGATTCATAAATGTGTGGCATGTGACTATGATCACGTGTGATTTTGTGATTGATAATCACAACCATAAATAGTGTGTTTATTTGTAATCGTGATCTAGTTGATTAGATATATGTCACAATATTTTTATCAAGGTGTCAAAAATATGATCACTTGACTGTGAAAAGATTTCATCAGTTTTTTAAAATTTGAAATTGTACTTTAAATATATGATAGTTATGTATTTTTCTTAAGTACAATCAAATATACTCTTAACATCACTTTCTATAAGACTAACAAAAATATGAACGTTAACATTTTAAAATACTAATACATTTGAATTCTAAGAATACCTATGGTCGTCTCTTTGTTGATATTTTTTCTATTTAGTAGCTTAACTTGAATGGTTTCAAGACAAACGACAGCAACTCAAAACACTAACATTCATCTTTCTATCCAAAAAAAATATATGCAAATATATATTAAGGGGTGTTTTGTACTGAAATTTTAATGAATAAATTCTAATACATCCATCTCATAAATATAGGTTTGTTTTCATGCTTCGTTTGTCTCAAATTATAGACAACATCCACGTTGAGAATATGTTAATTTATTAAGGGTGTGTTTGATAGATAAAAAAATGTATTTTAAATAGTGATATGATGAAAAATACGTAGTTAAAAAGGAAGGAAAAGTTATTGATATTATGAAAAATATTATTTTATTGAAGAATGTGTACCAAATATGGGCTAATTTTCTATACACGCTTAATTAATGTAACTTGTTATCACCAAATATAAATAACTCCTATTGAACTTTATATTTTCAACTATAATAATTATATTTGCTTAATTTGTGTGAAAATTAAAAGCAAACATATCTTTGTGCAATGGAGGAAGTAATAAATTTCATAATAGATTTCCACACTGTACATAAGAACTACGTTCGTATTTTTAGCTTGAATTCCATCTAAATATTGTGAAATTCCCTTATTAATAAATTTCATATAAATCCGCACGTCATTTTTAATGAAAATCCATAAAATCTCAATTCGCGACAAATAAATTTATACAAATTAGTGCATTTGGTCGAGAAATATACATTATGTGCCTCCACGTTCCGTTTCTAAACTATTTAAAGACTAATCAGGCTCTCATTTGGCAAAAATTACAATCCAGATTTTAATCTAAGTCAAAATTAATAACTAATTTTAACCACAGAGATTCACAACTTTTCAACCACATATTTAATCGACTTTTATCAAAATCTGCTAAAAATCTGATTTTAATCCCTATTAAAAAAAAGGGGCAAAGGACTACAATATTTATATGCATAATAAAAGAAATGAACAAATAACAAAATTTAAGATAACCTTATCATAGCATTTGCAGCAATCTTAAGTCTAACCAATCATCCTTCTATTCCAAACAAAACATAACAAAAACTCAAGTCCCATAAACTGAGACGGGCTAAGGCTTACACTCTCATAGGAGACGACACAAGCCATTTAGGCTCGTCTCTTAAGACAGCAATACACATTATTTTACCTTCTTGAGTAGGGCAGATGTTCGGTATTCACCGTCATCCTTGATGAAACTCCACCAGACGTATGTAAGAGGGATAGTGGTAGCATGCCAAAGAGCGTGTGCATCAACCAATCCTTGGTATGGAGGGAAGTCATAAATCTCTAGCAGCATCGAGAGGCCGCCTCCTACAATTACAATCCACAGCTTCCAGCGAGAAGGATGACGGGTGACACCCGCCCAGATTGCCCAAACGAGAAGTTGAGCAACAGCCATCACAACACACACTTTCATATTCCACCCTGTCAAATGTTCCAGAGTCGTAATAGTCTTAGTACAAGAGTAAAACATGATTTTTAATTGCAAAGATAACAGCATCAGGTAGAAACTGAAAGTGATACCGAACAACTATCATACCGTAGTCCATTTTATAGTTGTTGAGGTACAGTAAGTGGGTAGTCGTAAAAGCAACCAGTGGGGCAGCAACCATGACCCTTGCAGCTTCATCCCTCACATTGAGACTTCTCACTACGGCCAAAAGAAGTGAGTATCCGAGTAAGGCCACTGCTGATGAGTAGTCTAGCTTTTCTGTCAAGCTCACATCTCTGCCATTTGGAGATTCATAAAACCATAATGGCAAAATAAATTTAGAACACTGACTTGACAGGCAACCACGTTGTGTGCGAAGGGCCAAAAGTCTAGGAGCAAGTTTGACTAAGCTTAAAAAATTCACTTATAAGTAAATAAGTAAGTTTTAAAATAAATTAAGTTGTTTTATTGGTTTATAAGTAAATAAAAAAAAAGTATTTTTACTTGTTAAAGTAGGACAAGAGTAAATTACTTTACGGGTAAGTCGAGACTCGAGAGTTACTATCGAAACATGTAACTTTTTTAACATAAAAAAGTAGTATTTAACCAAACTTATCTGTAAACAAATTTTTTCTAACTTATGTTTAAGCTTAGCACACATGCCTGAAAGGTCAACTCAATAGAAGCTTGAAATTGACATCTGATACGAGACCTTGTTGTCTCCTCTCAGCTAATACAATGACATAAGAGTTTGCAAGCATGGGCAATAAAATGAGAGGTACAAAGCTCACCGACTGTGGAAGACTGCACTCCAGAACCATGAATTCATGGTCAAGAACCCGTAGATATGCCACAGACCAGTATAATCATAGTATGGTCTCTTATCTGGTTTTAGTGGCAACTTGTAGTAAAGAAGGATGAAAAAAGAAAGCCAGCCATGGAAATGCATTGCAAGGTTGAGAGCTGAAAGAGCTACAGAAACTGGCTCCTGAATGATTTTAGGACATTAATTCAGATGCGTGCTCAAAATGTGTATACCAAGACACTAAGTGGGGATTCGGCTAAAGTCCAAATGTATACGAAGGCCACAAGCTTGTAGAGTTACAGACCTGGAAACCATACAGACGTCGAAAGGGCCACTTGCCATGATATTTAAAAGGCCCATGACCAAGTTCTGCTCTTTCTTTTTCTCTATCAAGCATACAGTGGTAACGGCAATCACTTTGGCAATCCCATTGTTTCCACCGCAAGTAAAGAGGCTCTTGCATGTACCAAGGGCCATCAACAGAAGAACCATCCGAGGAGAATTTGCAGTGTGGAAAGCATCTCTCCCCAACACATCCAGTCTTCTCACATTGTCCTACACAATCCCTGAAATTGATAGAAAACTAAAGTTTTCATTTTATTTTTTTAATCAGAGTTGATGCTATTTGACCTGTATACAAACTTCCAGAATAATACCTCCTGGATTTCAGAAAGAAAGGAACAAAATTAAGTTCCTCCAATATTTAGCTTTTTCACTTCTATGTTCAGGAATAAAATGAGAAATTTTACACCCTGTGGGATGCCAAGAATGTCAATTCAAAGCATGCAGGAAAATAGAGTTGTCAGACCAATATAAATCACGTATAATTTTGGACGCGAGAAAACTGGCTGTGCAGCAGAAACGTTGAAAATGTAAAAATAAATATTGAAGTTTCAATAGTTTCTACTGATCAAAGAATCTTCAGATATGGCTTCCAGTGAAGAAAAATTTTGAGAAGCAAAACAACACTCTCACAACAGAGGAGGAAGAGAGGGGGATCTTGGTCCTGCTGAAGACAACCATGAACAAGTCAAAAAGAACAAACTTTGAGAAGCTTATTTTGTCAATAAATCAAGACAGTTGACAGTCAAGGTTGTCCCCCAATGCACACATGAGCCAAATAAAAATCACAAAATCAAATTCAGGTAATATCGTAGAAACTAAATAAGTAAATGAACTTCATGGGAAAAGATTACCGATATAATGGGTCGGCGTCACCAGCACTAGCATCAAGTGCTCTAATAAGGCAGGAATACACTAGAAAGAAAATGATCCAATAATGATCTGCCATCTGATCAGTGAATATTACACAATAATTTAGATGACCATAAGTTGAAAAGAGAGGATCAAAAATCTAAGAGACGCTATAATTTCTGGTGTGATGTTATGCTATTGACTACTATAATTTGATTGCAAACTATGGTTAGTATTCACAAAGATAGTACAATGATTGCATGGAGTATAGAAGATTGGAAAATTAGATAAATAATATCAAAGGAAATATTAACAAAAATATAAAACACGGTGCATTTCTATTTTATGCAACACATTTGACGTTTCACCAGGTGAGTAAATTTAACAGTACTGCAAATTGTGCACGCGATTTTCTATATTATCCAGTAAAATTTCAAAAGACATAGGACCATGGGATTTTGAACCAATGCAATTAAAAAGGGATAGATTCTCATAACAACATTAAACAATGTTTACAGGATTGAACCCTACACCACACACACGCAGAGAGAGAGAGTAGGGACAATCGGACAGATAACTATTACAATTAATCACTCACTAGTTACGATAACTAATAATACAGAGGAAGCTCAATGTTAGTGGGGGTACAGACAAAAGACTGTGGCCACCCGAGGCGACCCTGAGGGTGCGCGAGTTGAGCGACTGCATAGGGCTTCATTATTGTAGGGGCACCAAATTTTTTTTTTTTAATTTGTGTGTGTATATATGTATAATTATATATTTAAAATATTTATTAATTTTAAAATTTAAAATTTTAATTATTAAGTTAAGTTAAAGTGCACAATGTTTATGAGAAATAATTCGTAAGAAGAAACATTTTGATGAAAATATCACTATAAATCGCACAATCATTTTGAAGATTCCTTCATAACCAATTATTTCCTTTATAGAGTAGATCAAGTAATTTGATCACTTGAACGAAAGTTCGATCAATTCATATTTTTTTTTGATAAGTTAAACTCATTGAATGATACTGATTTGAAAGCAAGTTGTGATAATCTTGATATTGTTTTAAGATATGTAATTTTTTGAGATCTTGATGTCAAATGTTTTCTTGGAGAGTTAAAAAATTTTGTGAAATCTTGATATATTAACTTATTTGAAATACCAAAAGAAACAGAGACAACTTTTGATATATTGACTTATTTGAAAAGATTGGATCTCTTTTCGAATACATTTATTACTTATAGAGTATTACTAATAATTAATATTATTGTTGAACACGCTGAATAATTTTTTTAAAATTCAAGTTATTAAAATCTTATTTACAATCAACCATGTTATAATATCTTCGATATCTATTGAACAAGATTTGCTAGAAATGAAAGTTTAATTAGTTAATTTGCTTCTAAAAATGCAAGAAAAAATATTTTTACATAATTTGTTGTATTTCAAAGTTTACACGAGGTATTTGACGTTTCTGATTTCAATGTTTTTTCATATGGAATTGTATACAAAATTTAGGGACTTGGATGATTCTTTGTTGATGACATGAATTTGATGAGGTTTGAAAGGTGCTTTTGAACTTTATCTGTACTTTTCTTATTCACGACATTTAAAAAAATTAATAGTATTTAAGTATCATAATTTTGCGATGATATAATATTATTGAATATATTTTTTTTTTTCATGAAAGAAGCGCTGTTTTAAAATGTCGCACATGACATCCAAAATTTCAGGGCCGGCCCTGTGGCCACCAATTCATATTCCCCCTGGCTTGAGCCCTAATTCAAGAGAGTTATAAAGGACAAGAAACAATCTTCCATTTTTTTTTTCCAAAAACAAATTCTACAACAAAGGGTTGTTCAGTTGAGAGCACAGCCTAGGAAATACTTATTAGTATCTTGTTTTACAATGATTAAGCTTTCTAACTCAAAAGGACAAAGTACATAACATTTCAAAGGATAGGGGAATAACACTCGATAAGCACTTGAACTAAAAAGAAAATATCTTGCATATCCGCATAACATCATTTTTCTATGATTTGGTCCTCCGACCTTCACCCCACCCCCATGGAAAATTACAAAATAAATAACATCAATCACTTTGAGAAGGATGGCCTATTTACATGAATGCTATACTATTTTTGATTGAGTGGTTTTAAGCTCATGATAAAGAATAATTATTCTAGTCTGTAGAAAATAAAGATGAGGTAATTTTGAAATTTTGACAACATGGCACAGATATACTTTGTAATCCATGCCGACCACTATCCTATTTATTTAAGCGAAGGGCAACACCCATGTACATATAACCCACAATTCTACCAAAACAAAAGATATATACTTCCTCAGAATGAAATTTTCATCATTCTATCTAGAAACTTAAGACCTTCAAGTAAATTCTATTGCTTCTGCCGTTTATTTATCCATTCTCCACGTTCCTGCTCTCTTTAGAAATGACTAGATTTTATCCTAAAAAACCGTAGCGTGTGCCAAGATTGTAGATAAGTTGTATACATTCCCTGATTTTAAGATAAAAACTTTTGGTTTAAAAAATAAGAATAGAAGTTAAGAGTTTTTTATATTTAAGAAACAAGAGAGGGTATAAAAGGTTTGGTTAGTATAAGTGAAAGATTGGATTCTTAAGATTCTAAATTCTAAATTCTTTTATTCAATTCCATAACCACTACTTGTTGGTTGCATTCGACCCACCCATAAAATAAATCAGCAGTTAATTGTACAATTGCCTGTTCCTATCATTCAACTGCAAAAGAATGTAGTGTCACCATTTATGTATATGGTTCAACTACAGATTTTTTTTTTATTTGGAATTTATATTAGCATTGGCGAACCCAACTAGGACCATTGTGTACCAAATAAGTCATATCTGTAGAGCGGTGGAAATCTTATATATCTGGCCCCCTGATGCGTTTGCCCAAAACTAAATTTATATTACACGAGATTTAGTCCTCAATAATTTCTATGAAAAACACTCCTTGTACCGGGGGGGTGTACANTCTTATATATCTGGCCCCCTGATGCGTTTGCCCAAAACTAAATTTATATTACACGAGATTTAGTCCTCAATAATTTCTATGAAAAACACTCCTTGTACCGGGGGGTTGTACACCCCCCCCGGTACGAATAGCTTCGTTCAATTCTATAGTTATTAGCCAGAGTTCTTTAGCAATCAAGAAAAGAGGTTGACAGATTTTTGGTTTAAAAAGACATAAACATGAGTCAGATTATGCTTGAAGTTCTCTAAATCTCCTAGTCAAAGACCAGGGATATAAACTACAAGTCTCCGATGAAGTTGTTATCACTGATCTGCTTGTTCATAAGTCTAACCATTATATTTCAAGGAATGCACTTCATGTTGCAAGAGCAAATATGTAACAGACTAATGTAAACTGTGCAGAATTCTCTTAATTTTTCATGCTCGACATATATTTGAACACACACATCAATAATAACATGAAACACGAAGACTTATAATTTGCTTCCATGGTTTGTATGTATGAGAATTCATCAATGTCAAGTATTTAACACCAGTAAATCCATATTGATGTGATTTTACAAATTCTAAATTAAAGCTCTTAGGATAAATCCCTTCTAGAAACTATGTTGTACTTCCTAATAAAGGCTTCATAACAGCGCCTCTCAGAATTAAAGTACCATGTCTCATTGGCCATTATTATGCCTCACCAAAAACTTAAAGTGCCTGTCACAAAAATCTATATAAAGTAATGCCAACGTAACAGTGAACAAGATGATATCCCACATTGCTGAAACGTTAGATAGATGACAATGAAACCCACTAACCATGATTAAGACTCTAGGATAAAGGATACCTAACAATTCTTTAGTTTTGATGTGTTCAACAATCAAATCACCCTTCAGAGCAATAAATCAGACTGAAAAAGTGCTTCTCCAATTACTAATTAATTTCAGTTCTTTTACTATCTTAAAGCCAAAAATAAGCTCAAATCTGCTTTGTTAGTATTATTGTTTCAGATTATTTATAAGCATTTATATTGAAGTTCAGTGACTAAAACTTAATCACTGATTCCCCTGAATCCTTTCAAGCACAATAATTTATACTCTACACAATAACAAAAGATGGTAATCATATGATTCCACGCTAACATAAACGTAAAAACAAATCAAAACTCAAGTGAACGAATCCCTTTCATTAAGATCCAGCCAATTTTGTTTTACACATTTCCGACGTAAATCTGGTGAAGGGAAACAAAAATATATCTACTTGGAGAAAATAGGATGAAAGCAAATCGGAGGAATGTGCATAAAATACCTTATTCATGGCGATATATCAAATTTGAGAGTTGAAATTCAGAAATCGCATCACATCAAAAGCTCGTGAAATTTTACTCTGAGATAAATAGTTAGAGATGGTGTGTCGCTTTACTCTCTAAGCTGGAAGATCCCAGAAATGGTGGAGACACGCGACATGTAACACCATTCCAACATAAATTAAAAAGGTTTTTTTTTTTTTTTCCCCAAACGTATTAAGCAAAAATTATTGATCAATCTTGACTGTTATTTTTCACATGCCAATGGCAAAAAAAAAAAATGGAAAATTCAACAAAATTATTATTTTCCCTTTTAACCCCTTATGATTTTCATGTCGTATACCTTGAATTATTTTTTAGTTTATGAATAATTTAATGCAAGCATTTTGTCGATTGGTCGAGACGTTGAGTTAGATTAAAATATTTCTTTTCTTTTGGATGTCTACCACTTAAAATGGAAATTAACTAATTAAGACTTTTCGTTTAGAATTCTAAACTTACATATTCGAAGTTATTAGTGAACGAAATATTTGGTAAAAATTAGACATCGTCATTAGGACTGTCAATGGATTGGATTTTGATTCGAATTCGACGAAATTAATGTGAGATAGATTTAGGGTTTCAGTCTGATAATTCGATCAAGATCTGAATCCGATAATCCATTAACTAAATGGATCAAATATGGATATATATCAATCCGATCCGATTTGTTATAAATAATTGAGTTGGTAAAATATTTTTATAACATATTATTTGTCACTAAAATAAATAAATGAGAAAATAAAAAAAATTAGAATAAAAATAATAATTAAATTCAAAACATAAAAAAATTGAAAAATTTATAATTATTAAACCTGTTTAAGAATTGAAAATTTTGGAAAAAAAAATTGATTTCAACCAATGTTTTAAAAATAGACTCGAGCATCGACCTGAAAAATGAAGATGATCAATGGTCAAAAAGTCGAATCGGTACCGAACCGATTGTCAAATTGAATGAATAACTATACACATAAACACAAAATATTATAAAAATAATAGATTTTTTTTTTAATTTTAGTTTACTAATTTCAAGTAAATAAATATTTATATTTTTCTTAATTAAATTTATTATTGTAATTTATTTTACAACTCCAAAAATTAATAATTAATATGTAACAAATAATTTGATTTGTTAATGAAAATAATAAAATAAAATATTTATATTTATAATTGAAATTCAATTTTACCTTATCCCACATCAAATATCAATAGAAAACTAGAAAATAATATCTCATTAAAAAATGAACATCGCGATAGTAGAAGTCAACATTAGGCTTGTTAGTAAAAACATGTGGGCATCAAATTAGTTCAAAATTTTTTAAAGAACATAAGATTTTTCGGTTTACGGTTAACCAGCCGGTTTTTTGATTTATTTGACGATTTTCAATTTTTCGTTTAATGTATGATGATTTGATTCTCATATTGATTTTTTTCTTAATTTTTATATTTCTGATCGGATATTCGATAACATAACAAATCAAATATTGATTTAACAATCAAATATCCGTTGGATTATCGAATAATTTTCTTATCGGATATAGGCATATCCGATCCATTTAAAGGCTACAGCCCTAACCATCATCTAATATCTAAAAATGCCAACTTCTAAATATTCTAGTTCAATGTGATAAAATAATACATATAAATCTTGAGATGAAGTTGACGTCACTTATATATTTACAATTTTTTTTTTTTTTTGCACGAGTCGTGCATTATTTTATTTATGTATACTATTTCGTGATTTGAAGTCATCAATACAATTAAAGTAACAAGGTCTTCAAACTTAATACAAACATGTCATTAGAAGGGTTTTCAAGAGCTTAAACAGACTCACTTTTTACCTCTAATGAAGGTCCAGTCCAATGTAATCTTCATTGGTCTAGATTTTTTATGTCACGAATACGAATTGAGTAAGTAAAGTTGTGATCAGAAAGGTTGAAATTTGGAGTGTATACACATTGCATTGGTTCGAGCCATGCATTGCATTTGTTTGAGCTCAACTCTTGACAAAACAGAGTAAATCTAGTCGATTCCTAGAAGATTTCATTTATTTTGATTCAACCACAAACAAGTAATATAGCCTTCGATCACCCACCTCGGATGAAGGCCCCAATTGACCATGGGTCTACTCATAATGTTAACTCCACTTGTCCACTTTGAACATCGGAAGATTCTAATAACATTTGAGTTCGACTTAATTCATCTTAATGAGTTCGGCTTATCGTTATTACCAAACATCCCTGGTGGGTTCGGCTAATTGACCCCCTTGATGGGATAATTAAGTAGCAATCATTTTGTGGAGAAAGTCCTCCCAACCATCGAAACCAGAGGGAGAAGATGAGGTAGGATAGGTGGCAAACCTATGATCTAGACAGTGATGGTTCCATCGTTGCCACCCTAATCCACCAATCAAAAGCTACTAATTTGACATTTGGCATGTGAATCGATGTTGATTATAGTAGCTATGAATGACTATGACGACTTGCAATTGTAATTCTCCTTGTATCTTTAAAGGGGGAATTATTACTCATTTAAGGACACAAGAATTCAAATTCTCTTCTAACAATACACGTTTATGCTTGCATACTTACCTTTAGGGATGGCAAAAAAGCTCGACGGCTCGGAAAAAGCATGAGCTGGGCCCGAGCCGAGCCTCATTTTTTTTGCCGGGCTTTACTCGGTTCGGCTCAAGCCCAAAAAAGCTCGGTCCAAAAAAGAGTCGAGCCCGAGCTTTTTTATTTAATTTATAGTACGAATAAACTGTACAAATTTTAATTTTTTTAAGTAAAAATGTAGATTTGACATTTAAAAAAAAAAAA